ACCCTCTAGGTCTGCTGCCACGAATCGTCACGCGTGGAGAAGTACCATTCGAACATAATGGAGGCCGGCTGGATCAGTCGTGATCGCAGACGCAACAAGTACACGTAAAAAAGTGCAAGTTAAATGGGTGCATTGAACACAGTGAGCAGTCATTTGGTTGCTGAGTAGAAAGAGCAATATAACACTGAACATTGCTGCTTGATCAAAGGCACAGCCGCCGTAGTCCAGATTGTTGTACTTTTGTACGAAATTCTTTGTTGTCGAAAATAACAAATCTATACTGCAGGACGGAAACCATGCGTGCCTTTTACTTACCAGAATCCCCGGAGTTATTGGGGTGACCGCGGATAATACCCGACCGTAACAAAAGTCTGCCTCTGGCCAGTAAAGACGAACTACACCTCCTTAAGTGCGAATAGCCACATAAAAAGTAAGTCAAGTCTAGAGTTTGAGCATCAACTGAGAAAAAGTAATCTTTAGATACCCAGTTAACTTCGACATGGCAATAACTCAGTCAACAATTTGAAACGCCAATGGCATTTTAAAGTTACGTACTGTCGAAAGCAGAACATAAATCGACTGCAGATATCTAGAATCCAAACAAAATTCCACGTCATTCGGTACTACTGGTAAGTCCTGATTTGTCACACGAACACACAGAGAAAAGTGATGCGTTTTAATAGCCTGTGCATGAATCAGCCCCCCACATTAACAGGGCACAATCGCAGGGCATTAAAAGGACAGTGGGCTTACAAACGCATTTAGAGCAGCGCCACTCTACACGCACACAAGGCAAGGTCAGAAGAAATTCCGTACGTAGCCGCCTGCCCTAGGCAACCTCCAGAAGTGCTTTTGGTCGACACAAGGTCAAGCGGAAAAGATTTGTGTGCGGGCTACTGGGTCAAAGCAGATCTTTCTTCTAGGCAGATGAAGCCCGGTCACTGATTACCAAGGAGACTGCTGCCATCTCGGAGGACTGGGAAACAGTAAAGGACCAACTTCTATTGATGCAGATGAATTGGGCAGGTGGGATAAGGTCAGCAAAGCATCTACATGAGGCCCACACACAGGCTGGTAGATTCACTAAAGCAGATTACTTGAGGAGAGAAGGCATTCGGTCTGACAGTCTTTACTAGTCGTAGATGCGATGTAAAACCAAATTCGGGCCCGGACAGCATAAACATGAGCAGTGCTATTAGACAAAGCGATGTCGCATGCAGTTAGTGGAGTTCCTATTGGTCTCGCGAGTTGCTCTCGGAGAGGGAGAAAGTGCGGCAGGCAGTATAGGTGTCAAATTAACCCAATTCAACAAGCAGGAGAGACCGTATCACGTAGATCTGAGAAGCACTCACCTGGCCTGGATTTGGTCAATACTACTGAGGGTATCGAGGTCACGTTTCACCTCGTTGATCGTTTGCGCCAGTTCCCGCATGCAACCAAAAGCATCCGCGAGTTCTGCCTTCTCGGGATGATCCTCGTCTGTCAACTTCCAAAGTTGCTATGATGGAAGAGGAATGCAAGGTTGAGGGAATTTTGCTGAGAAAAGGACGGCGAAAAGAGAAGATACGGATAGGGTAATTGGCAGTAACTGGTCCTAACGTCGCGCAATCAACATGGTAGTTTGTGAATGCATCTATTGTAGTGGAGCGTCATCACCCCAGGAGGCAAATATCATTGCTTAAAGTCGAGTCCATTCAGAAAAAACAAAAACCTGTTATATTTTGTGCCCCTAACGAAACAATAAAAGGGCAGATGGTATTGCCAGCAAAGACAAGGAAACTGGAATGGCCCTTTCTGGCTTTTTAGCCATTGTCAGCCAGTCATACTCAGCTCCAGGTGGAGCCCCACTCGAGCCTCGAACTCGCGACCTTTCCACAAGAGTCTAACGCCCTAACCATTGGGCCGGCAATACTATCTCCCCTTACTAGTAGCTGCTAAAGCTGCTGTCAGGGCCCGAGAAATGAGGACCAAGGCAAAGGCGGAGGGGGAAAATTGAGTTCTGATAGCGGTCGGTGAAGGTTCACCAGCGAGCGGTAGGTAATGTTAAAATGCCCAATTAGTTCTTGTTGGCTAGTTTGGATGGAGAATATAAATCTAAAATGGTAAGTACAGATGAAATTTCACAGTATTCAACAGACTTACTACCGCTGAAATGTCAA